TAAACTGCTTTGAGAGAGACCTTCCCAGTGCTCGCACCTGATCCGTCATTCATCCCCGGGAGATTTCCGATGGCCGCTCCCTGCCTCCGGGATAAAGGCACACAAGGGCTTTGCGGCTCACTGTCTGTCTGCCTTTCGGTCTTAGTGCTCCTCGTCCACCCGGAGTCGGTCACAATCAGGTGCACTGACTGACACACCGCGGACCCATGTGCACGATGCCCGCCCGTGAGCACCAGGCACCCCTGCCTCAGCCGCCAGGCCTTCTCCCCGTCCGCTCAGAACTCTCGTCCTGCAGGCTGGGCTCCAAGGCGCCTCTCCGTGAAGGCTGCCCGCTCCCCGCCGTTCCTCCTTCGTGACATTGAAGTTCACAAACCCACGGTGTCAAAGCTGAAGGCCTCAAAGGCAGAAGCATCGTTACTCGTATTTGGGGAAATACGCAGCCAGGTTCCTAACTGGTAACGACACCTGAGTCGTTTCATCAGCCAAAGATGAAAACCTTTCCCAAGACTCCCTGGCGCAGTTTTAATGGAGGCTCTGCCACTGAAGGTGGGGCTCACTTAGCGGGAAGCATGTGTCAGACTTGCCTACGTCAGCAGACGGTTAATGGAACGGAACAGAATCACACTCAGCGGTGAATGCCACTGACCACGGCCTCCCGCGCCCGCAGCTCTCATGGGAAGTGCAGTGACATCCCCAGCGAGTGACCGCAGGAGGCACTGGCTGGACACCGAATGCAGTGCTTCCCTGGAAACGTCCAGGCAAAGGGAACCCTTCCCAGGAATCCCAGCTTCCCATGAGGTGCAGCTGTGGGTACTTGTGGCCACATTAAAGGGAGACTGTTGTTGTTTCTGGAATGGTCACAGGCAGAAGGTAATTATGGGGGCTGCGTGGCGGGGGAGAGGGGAAGTATAGGAGGAAGAAGGCGGGATTGCCACTGAGGAGATGACACAAACTCGCTGGAGCAAAACGCTCCGTGAGGTGGTCTCAGGCCCCGAGGAAGCATCTCAGGGCTGGGAGCGCGATGGGGCTTGTTGGCAGCGTGACGGGAGGCGGTGGGGAGCGGGATGCATCTTTCTTCTGCTTCGTGACCTGAAGCCAGGGCTGCCTCTGAGGTGCAAAGGCGAGTCAGGCGAGTGCCTCTCGCTCACAGAGAACGCTGTACCCCAGTTCCACATGACCACATCTAAGCAGCTTCAAAAGCAGCCTGTTAGCGAGGCCGGGGCAGCGCTCACCTGTCTTCCTCCCTCAGGCACAGGTCCTCGGTCTCCTCCAATGAGGTGAGGAGGTAGATGAGCTGATCTCTGCTCCCTCTCGGCTTCCCTCTAGGGCCCTAATTCTCAACCCAGCCCATGGCCCTCGGGCCTCAGCCCCGGCTTCAGATCAGACCAACGGCAGGGCTCACTGGGTGATTACGATGTGCCCAGTGCGAAGCCAACAAATCTGGGACTTGCCACGCCAGAGAATATGCTGACCCACCCACGACTTCGCTACAAGGGCCGGAGCTCATGCGTGGTCGTGCCCGGCAGCGGCTGGGCAACAGGAGGCTAGTTATTTATTTCATTCAAGCCCAGGAAACAGACTCCTACAGCCTCCCTCCCCATCCACCACGCCCCACCCACCACGCACCC